ACATAACAGTTTTGGGCAGAATACATTCGATGCTCAATTACAAGAGCAAACTATTTCTTAGAAAAGGTGAGAATCTACACTAACTGCGTCAGGCCAATCATGACCTTTAAGACCCATCTGAATATGCTGCAAGTCATCCAAAACCGCTTCATGCGCAGGGCTACTGGAGCTCCCTAATAGTTGCAGCGTCTAACTACTACCCCTATCCAACTTCGAACTTTCGACTTTGCCCCAGGCACGTCCTTTCGGATGTTGACGGTCCCATCACATTAGCAGCTGATGCAGCCATTGCGAGTAGATCACACTCTACAAGCTCTTTAAGCAACCCTCGTCCCCGGCGAATAGGACATAGAGGCCCCTCACTTGTGCCATTCTTTGGCAACTACCGGCACATACCGGGTAAACACAGTCCGACCCGTTCTTCACAGAAAAACTCGTAAGCCCAGTCTTACCCCAAGGGCGTGATTGGGCTGGTTGTTTGAACAACCACCCACACACATCCGGGTGAGCCCTCGCTCCCCACAAAATAGTTAGGTGTAGCTTTAACCGGCCCCGGGGCCGATAAGTGCAGTGCCACATCACAAAAATAAACCGCTACACTACGGTAGCTCTAACCCAGGCAGCGAAATTGTGAACCACTTGATTCGTTCATATATTTTTGTAACTTTGAATGGAATGGAATTCGATCTCTTTCACTAGTTCAGCGTAAAAACTAAATTAAGCTACATTAAGTTTAGCGATTGCCCCGATTGGGTACAAGAAGCTTATCGTAGAGGACGAAACTCATACCGAGTTGACGCAAGACACACATGCGACCGATGCTTCACAGATTCGCACCAGTAGTCCTTATGGACGCAGTTTCAAATTTCAACTGTCGTGAGGTCACTGAAGAGATGAACTAAAACAAAATACTTAGCTGTCGACTTATTTTGCAAATACACTGATCGTTTTCCGTTCTCTTTCAATAGTTAAGCGTAAAAACTGAATTAAGCTACATATAGTTCTCAACCCGAGATTATCACGAATACTATAACGGATGCTGTACCACTTAAGTTTTAAGAAACACAAAAGTTTTTCGATTTGCGGTTGGTAACCATACCACTGCAAGCAAACCAACAGCATAATTAACTTTGTTATGTATATCGAAACGTTGACTACAAAACCCTAGTTGAAGGTGTGTCTGAGATGCTCTTGGACGGTTTAATCTTCTAGTTCATACCTACTAAATAATAAAAACTTGTTTATTAAATTCAAAATTCTTGCGTACCTACATTTACACACAGAAGATAAATACATAATGTCGCTTCTACAAATTTTAATCTTGACACATTTTTTCCTGTCTTTGTTACTCTTATTGTTTTAAATGCCTACAACTATCTTTGTTGCGCCGCAACGCACAAAAATCGTTCCTCTTTTGTTTTCCAACGCAGCGTTGTGCGCTATTTTGACGCTGCGCTAAAAATGCGCTGGAACGGACGTTGCGTGTGTTCTTCGCCTAATTAGTAACGATGATGATCTGTGAAAACTTTAAAAGTCTATCTTTTACCGATCATGAGATACAGTCTCTGAACCATCACTAGAAAAGCATATAGAGCATCGAGCATAAGAACATGTTTTTGTATGGGAGCTTTCAATTCAAATTTTATTATTTTTTTAGTAGGTAATTGTTGTTAGCATATGAACATGTTTTTTTATGGTAGCCCCTTTCAATTCCTTTTTTTTTTTCCTAACTAGTCCCTACGATATCTACCTACTTAGGCAACTATATCTACACCTAGCTGAATTTTGGGGAGCGGAAGGCTCACCCGGAAGTGTGTGTGTGTGGTTGTTCAAACAACCAGCCCAATCGCGCCCTTGGGGCGCGGTTGGGCTTACGAGTTGTTCTGGGAAGAACGGATCGGACTATGTCTACCGGGTATATGCCGGTAGTTGCCAAAGAATGGTACAAATGAAGGACCTCCGCGTCCCCGCCGGCGGGGACGACGGTTGCTTGAAGAGCTTGTGGAGTGTGATCTACTTGCAATGGCTGCAGCTGCTGCTGCTGTAATTTCATCGTCTTCATCCGAAAGGACATGTTTCGGACGGCGTCTGAAGCGCGTGGTTGGATGGGGGAAGTAGTTGGACGCTGCAACTATAAGGGGGTTTTTATGATGGGGAGCGTTGTCGAAGAATCGACGGGACGCTCGTTTCATATATTCTTTAATGGTAGGGAGTCCTAAGTCAATATGAAGGTTCTTGGTACGCATGTACCAGGGGGCCCCGGTAGCTTTGCGTAAGAAGCGGTTTTGGATGACCTGCAGCACATTCAGATGTGTCTTAAAGGTGTGAGCAAAGGTTACGCTAGCGTAGGTCATGATAGGCCTGACGCAGGTGGTGTAAATCCTCACCTTATTTCTAAGGGAGAGTTTGCTCCGTTTGTTCAACATCGGATGTAGTTTGCTCCGTTTGTTCAACATCGCAATTTTATTATATTTTTAATGATAAATTGTTTATAACGCCAAAAGAAAGACGACACGACATATTTTGTGAAAATATCAAATCTGATACAGCCTGCTAACAGACGCATGTAACACCTTTTAAAAAAATATATATTTACAGAATGTATTTCCATTTACTTGTCATTCATTGAGGCATAAAGATACATGATGTGCGGTCAGCCTGGCCAGCTCCGGGGCAGTGCCTTTCTTTTTATTTTTTTTATCCCGCCCGAGCCGCGTTTAGAGTAGGAACACAAATTGTTATAAAAAAGAGAAAATATTGCACACCAAATTTTCCCTTTTTTTAAGTTCGAATTAGAATGTGACTTTTGTAATTCCTACTGAGAAATAAATGCTTTGACTTTGACGTACAGATAGAAGTCTTTGTAATATGGTCCTGTTTGGGGACCTTTCGAGCACGGCACTCTAAAAATGATGATTAATATAGCGAATTTTGCATTAGTTTCATAATAATTGGCAAGATCCGACCAAATAGTAGTGCCACGATGAAGCATTCAATAATAGTATTCAATTTGTACTTTTTAGCCTACTATTTTGTATATGTAAGTATTGGTCATATATTTTTCAATTTTTGCAGCCGTTTACGCTCTGCCTACCCCGCAAGGGATATAGGCGTGATATATGGGTATGTATTTTTCAGAAACTCATCTAAAGTATTGGGTCTCTAACATCTGATCAATGCTATTTTTGACCCGACTGCCTCAGAAGGAAGATCATTTTTTCGAGAGTAGTTAGTTACCTTTCTGATCTAGGTAGGTGGGGTAAGTACAGTATATGCGCAATCTGATTGGATTCTGAAGCTATGACAATTTATGACATTTGGCTAAGTGGAGAAATAAATTATTTTTGACAGGCTAGACGGATGTTGACATTTAAGAGATGTCATTAGATTTGTCTCAACAGCACCAGTGACACGGGCTATAAGTATTTTAAAAATGTGAATTTTCAACACATTATCATGAAATTACTGTAGTCGGCTCATTGTTTTTAATAATGGGAACTTTATTGATAGTTCTAAGCGCTTAAATGTGAAACCAGAGGGCGTAGTGCTAACTTGCAATTTTGACGTTATACCATTAATTACCTACTGTTCATTTGATTTGTTTCGAAATAAAGTCTCGTCTTGCTATGTTAATAACAATAGTACTCATGGTAGTAAATTTAATAGCAATAAAAGGTTTGGAACAATTAAATAAACACAAAATAAAGAACAATTTATTAAGTGGTACAGACAGACTTTCCGAGTAAGGAAAAGTTCTATTGTGATTTTAATGCACTCACAGTGCTACATATTATTCTCACAAATGAAGAGCCCCGGGCGATGCATGAACTATTTATTAATTTTTTAATTTTTAAAGTTTTTTCCACTTAGGTCAGCGCCCTCTACATAACAATTGAGAATCTTTAGTTCCTATTGTGTTTGTTTGTTAAAGGGTTTGGAATTCGTCCCTGAAATACCCAAAATAACATATACGGACAAGAGATATCTACCCCAGGCTAGTGCGAGTGTGCGCAGGCTGGGTAGACACGGCCGCTACGTGTTAAATATAAATGCTACTGTGGCATACACAGTCAGTTCGAACGTCTCGGTAAGCGATACCATAGTCTAACAAAACATGGTCTTACATTCCCAGTGAAACACTAGCCTACGTCACTAGTATTGCCACTTTATTTCAATAAAATACGTTAGAGGGCAAACTCAACCTCACGTTAATCAATAACGTTATAGGGTTAATTTTATAATTAAGATTTATGTGTGTATTAACTTGAACTTTACAAAAACACTTAAATTTTATTTATTAGTTAACAGTATCTTATATGATTTACAAAAAAAAACATAAGCGTGGGTAATTCTGGTAACCCACAAGCATGATGACGTAGGCTTGTGTTAGTCACGTGGTTCACGAGTCTCGGAATGGAATACCAGGCAGAGTATCTTATTATATCATGGGTAAGCGATACAATTCAGGGACCTTTTGGTGCATAATCGCCATTTTGCTATCCTCTTCTAAACCTATTTGATGGAAACGGCACTAATTTGAGGTAAGATAACGGTTTTTACAGAGAAATCTGATGGTTAAAAAAATATTTGTTTTATTTTGCGAAAATATTATAGAAGCACGGGACTTCCCATCAAGATTTTTAATCATATTTTTGTCTCATTTAAAGACTTTACTCCATTTAACTTTTGTATGGAAAACGATCCACCTTAAGAGAATTTATTTCTCAAACTGGCCTCTTGTTTGCAGATGCATTTTATTTTCTACGAATACCTGCATAACGAGTTCAAACGGAGTTTTGTCGAGATGAAGTTCAATTACTGCGACTTTGCTACTAAGGACCGGTTGTTCAGCCCCCTGGCACGGAGAGTTGGTATGACCTGCCCTTTATACGCAGTGAGTAACGATTTTCAGTCTCATAAATGTAAATAAGAAAAGTTGAAAAATTCATAATCGTCGGCCGGGACATCAAGAGGTTAAAAGATTCGTTAGGGCCAGCCAGGCGCCGGTAGCTCAGTTCGCAGAGCAGTAGTGGGACGGTACCCCACGGTCCCGGGTACAAGTCCCGGCCGACGCTAATGTTCTTTTGAAATTTTCTTGTTACTCTATCTATACCTACACCGAGAATCGAGCCCGGAATCTTTTGCGTCGCAAGCAGTCGCAATACCAGTGCTCTGGATGTTTTTAGAGTCATTCATAAGACTGTGTATCATCATAGGGACAGGTTGTCAGTCAGTCGTCGAAAAAGAATTTTATTGTCCACATACATACATACATACTCTCGAAAAACATAACCCTCCTTTTGAGGCAGTCGGGTAAAAAGGATTCGTGTCCGATCGCGTTGCAAAAGGATTTGGCTGAATTTTACGACCGGCCGCCTACCAGACGTCAACCCTTCTTGGGAATGCTTTTGTGGTAGAAACCGCCACCCTACGGCTGGCCCTGGCTGTTTGGGTCGGGTTTATCCCTCGGTCGCCTTTTACCAGTCCCACGGAAAGAGAGGAGGTGGTGCTATTCTACTCTGCCGGCACAACACGGCTACTGCCGGCACCACACGGCTAGACATAACAAGACATTATGAACATTTAAAAATACCTACGTTTTTTTTTTCAGGGCACCTACAAGTTCCACAACTTATCAATGGTGTCTATACCAGCTGTTGACAACATGCCATACAAATGGCCGTTTAAACGGGCGAAGGTAGTGCTGACATTAACTGCAATACCAGCGAAGGTGATGTTCATGGAAGGATACCTCATTGCTTCGTTCAAGCAAAGTAATTCGTGACTGCTGATAAGTTTACTTTGATTAACAGAAAATTTTGTTCTTTAAGTTGTGTTTCAATTTTATTAAGACATGTATCTATATTTATTCAATTTATGGTTTTTGAACACTTTCTTTCTTTTATGACAATTTTATGTTCCTAAGATCATAGCCGGAAAAATAAAAAATAAAGACACTGCCTCGGGCCAGCCATGCAGGTGCTCAACATTTTCAAAAAGCGAGGACTTGCTATTTAGGCAGACTGACTACTCCAAGGTGGAACGCTATGTTGAAAAAATTCAACTCAAACATATTTATTGCAACAGTAGCAGCTCCATCTATCGACAAAAAGTGGCGAATCGGTTTTTACAAGGAAATGTGATGGCAAAAATATTTGTATTAATGAAAATGAGATTAAAACGTAAGACTTCTTTAGTTTCTTTACAGACGTAAGGCCATATAACTTTCGTATGGGAATCGTCCCACCACCGAAGTCCCACCTTAACCTGACAGATTTTAAATAGTTTGAATATGACATAAAATATTGCAATGATATGACAACTTGTGTCATATTCATATCGCAGTTCCGCTACACTGCAGCGGCTACAGAACTTTGTGCAGCGAAGTTTTGTAGGTAGTTTTCTATAAACCATTACAGTTTTCGTAATCCCAAAGTACCAGGCTGGCATGAATCGCTCGGAGTCGGTTGGAGTCCGATTGCGCAAAGCCAGCCTCGCGGGAAGTCGGGTTGCAAAACGCGGCAGTCAACGTGTCAGCCATTAGAAGAACCTAAACTGCACACAAGCAAATCAACCTACTATTTAATGGTAGGCTTAAAAACCAAGCGACAGCGACAACGACGCGCGTCGTTGTCGCTGTCAAATGACTGGTTTGTATGGGGAACCTGAAAGACCGAGCGTCGGCGTCGTTGCGGCGCGCCACGACGCCGTCACGTTAACAGCGCACTGAGAAGCTTAGAGTTTGTATGGGATGCGGTCGGGTTTTTCTACAAGACCGCAGCGACAACGACGCCGTCAAAATTTGACGGCGTCGTTGGCGCGCCACATTGTCGCGACGCTTGGAAAATAAGGGTACCATTAGGGACAAATTTTTACTGGATTTTCATACAAATATCAGGATACCCAGTATAAGTTGACCTCTAAGTGGGTAGGTGGAATTGCTAACGATAGTACATAAAAAAAGAAAAAAACTGGTACGTAGAAATTGTAATACGGGGTGTTAGGGACGGTGTAACGAAAAACTTTCACTGAACAATACTATGGAGCCAATGGTGGGAAACGAAAAAAAAATTCCGGCCTCCCATACAAAGTCAATCAGCTAATCGTGAATTTTGTATGCGAGGTCGGAATTTTTTTTTCGTTTCCCACCATTGGCTCCATAGTAAAAGTTGTTCAGTTTGATGGTCTGATCATGCCTGCAAAGTTTTCGGTACACCGTCCCTAACACCCTGTATAAGAACAACAAAAAAGGAATTTTGGTTTCACTGCTTAGACAGTTGGGTCGTTGGACGACTTGGTGTCCCACTAGAAGAATTAGAAGAAGTTAGACAGTTGAAATTTTCACAAAACAGGTATTACCTACTATTGCCACTTTGACAACATATACTAAAAATTTGAATTACATAAAAATTAAGAGGGGCTCCCATACAATAAAAGTGATTTTTAACCCCCGACGAACCAACCGGAGGGGTGTTATAAGTTTCACGCGTCTGTATGTCTGTGTGTCTACGATTCTTTGAGGCAACGTATCTCCGAAACGACTGAACCGATTTCAATGCGGTTTTGTTTATATAAAAGCTTATATGGTCAGGATGGTTCTTAGCCATATTTCATGAAAGTCTGATAATGGAGACGGAAGGTAGACTAGGAATCACACTACGCACTATATCCCCGTGTTTGAGCTAATTTGACTCGGAGTTGTCATATCTTTCAAGTCATGCATGACATTATAGAGGTCCTAACTATTTTAAAATATGACTTCAATGAGCGTACTCGTATTTATTTGACTTTAGGAAATAGGTAGATAAAAGATCTTTTACTTAAAACCTGTGCGTAGGAATAACATGTATTTACTAACTTACTTAGTAATATTACAAAAGTTATATGTAATACTTCTGTATGTACCTATGAGTACCTATACCTGTGCTTTATCCTGGGTGAATGAGTTCCTTGCTTAAATAGGTATGTAGAAAATTTATTTAAAACCCGTACTCAATTTTGCTCGCTTTGCTCAAGGACTGCTTAACCTAGCTTTATTCACAGTTTACCTATTATTGCCAGTGTAGGAAAAGAGACTTTACAAACAAAATATGTACTTAATAATCCAGATCTATTTTGGGTAATATTGTAAAAATTTGCGCTCGCTTCGCTCGCGATCACCTAGAGTAATGCTTGGCTTACCCCCTCAGAAGATGGCGTCAAATGTCTGTTGCAGGATTCTTACAAGCACCAAGTGTCATTACCAGGGGGTTGAGGGGGGCTTGCCCCCCTCACAGACGAAGACGTGAAACGTCTGTTGCAGGATTCTTACAAGCACCAAGTGTCATTACCGGGGTGGAGGGCTTGCCCTCACAGACGAAGACGTGAAACGTCTGTTGCAGGATTCTTACAAGCACCAAGTGTCATTACCGGGGGGTTGAGGGGGCTTGCTCCCCTCACAGACGAAGATGTGAAACGTCTGTTGCAGGATTCTTACAAGCATCAAGTGTCATTACCGGGGAGTTGAGGGGGGCTTGCCTCCCTCACAGACGAAGACGTCAAACGTCTGTTGCAGGATTCTTATAAGAACCAAGTGTCATTACCGGGGGGTTGAGGGGGGCTGGCCCCCCTGGAGACGTGAAACGTCTGTTGCAGGATTCTTACAAGCACCAAGTGTCATTACAGGGGGGTTGAGGGGGGCTTGCCCCCCTCACAGACGAAGACGTCAAACGTCTGTTGCAGGATTCTTATAAGCACCAAGTGTCATTACCGGGGGGTTGAGGGGGGCTTGCCCCCCTCACAGACGAAGACGTCAAACGTCTGTTGCAGGGTTCTTACAAGCACCAAGTGTCATTACCAGGGGGTTGAGAGGGGCTTGCCTTGCAGGGCAAATTTTTAGTAAATATCCTAAAAATTTGCGCTCGCTTCGCTCGCGATCTTTCTTTGTGTTTCGCTTTCCGTGCTTGTCGTATTTAAAACTAAGTTGACGTACTTATACATCAGGTTATTCTTAATTCAAAAAACTCAATTAAAACACAAAAATCTTTGTAGAATTTTGCACTCGATTTGCTCGCGGTCACTCAGGTTACCCTGCTGTTCCCTGTCTTGCCTATTTTTCTGTCCTATAGGATATACAAATGATCACTGTGTTAATTTAAACAAAAAATAAGATTGTTAAGCTAAGTTTTATTGTCATATAAAATTACTGAGCAGCAGCGGGTAGAACCGCCGTTTAAAATGCTAGTGAGAAATAGTAAGCGCTTAAAAAATCATGCTGTATGTTGTTTAAAGTCAGAAACAAAATATTAATTTAAAAAGCTTGAAATAAAACTTAAATTAAAAATTTAAAGGAACCCCCGACTTTCAATCCTTTAAAAAGTTAAAAATAATTTATTTATCCAATAAAATATTGTAAACCATAATACTCCAACGCGTCGGGGGGCCGCTAAGTAAACAATATAATGTAAGAAGTTTACAAACCATAATAAACATATAAGTTGCAAATGTCATTTCATTTCATACAAGTATGTCTTACGATTTTATTGAAACTTCTTACCTATATTGTTTACTTAGCGGCCCCCCGACGCGTTGGAGTATTATGGTTTACAATATTTTATTGGATAAATAAATTATTTTTAACTTTTTAAAGGATTGAAAGTCGGGGGTTCCTTTAAATTTTTAATTTAAGTTTTTTATACATAATGGTAGGTACTGCAACCTCCGTGGGCAAATCCGACTCGCATTTGGCCGATTTTATACAGTCATAATGGTACGGCACCCTACGTGCGCGAGACCGACTCGCACTTGGCCGATTTTTTAATTACTATCTATTCTTATTTGCATCTCCATACTAGTTTATACTGGATCACAAAAATGCAAATCATTACATGATTGACGTTAAACATTTTTTTTGTTTTCTATGTTCGTGTCGATGGCAAATTATTTATTAGCCTAATTTTGTCTATTTTATATGCAGAATCCTTAACGTTATCTCGATAAACTTTTCATCGAACTATTGTTTGGTTCGTTAGGTTTCGTCAATCAAAAAAAAAATGATATTTTTTTAACCTACCTACTTCTATCATAGTTTTGATAG